ATATATTTTAATCAGACTAAGGTATGTTGAAATAAGCCAACTGTCTAATTATAGGGTCTTATTTTTCATACCCAAACTCCTAGATTTTTCTTCCCCTTGATGTACTCCTTAGATAACTGGAAAACAATAATTTCAACACTCTTGTCACTCAGAGTATCCACTTCCACAAGTGTAGACACACAATATATATATCTGTACGGGGATCTGTGTCCATAATCTATGTATGAAAACGATTCTAGAGCACAAAGCAAGCCCCCTAAAAGCCCCTTCCAATTACAAAGACAGTAATGCTTAACAACTGATTCTGTGGAAAATTCCTTTATGCAAAGCCAGAAGAACCGCCAGAAAGAGAATCAACAAAATGATATGGTCAGGCTAGATTGAATGCACAGGACATATTATAGAAGAGGCCCTGAAGTAGCTTAGCAAAGGACATAACTGCTCACCAGGGAAGTTAATAAGAGACCAAGATTTCCAGGATGAAGCTCTGCTAATTTTCTCAAGAAGAATCTGTTCCGGTGGTGAGTCACTGTCGTTTTACTGGCATAATTTAAGTGACATGAGATAGAAGAAAAGGTCACAATTTAGATTAATGTCATCTCTGGATGACAGAGTGGGTGAGTCACCAAATGGAATTAATCCTGAAGCGTGGTTACCATTTTTGCTGTATTTACTCTCCCCTGATACACTCTACGTATAACACGTTCAATGAGATACTTCGGGATAGCTGGTTGCGAGGTTTCAGCCTCACTCGAAGCTCTTTATTTCAGAATAGAAATATGGACAATTTTCAAGACGGCAATATTAAATTTACCACGAGGCAATCAAAGGGCTCAGATGTCTGTATGTTGACAGGGGCCACTCTAGTGACTAACGTAAAGTACAAAGAGCCGCAAGAACTTGAGAAATCACTTGAGTCATTCTCCTTACTTTAGAGAAGAGACTGAGATTCAAAGTTAATTCAAACTTAGTCAAAGTTGCCTAAGACGACACATTTGGTGGCAAAAAGGGAACAGAACCCAGACATTCTGTCTCCTTGACCAATGTCCTTCCCTCAAATTGGGCATTCTTGATTTATATCTTTACTTTGTAAACTTTAGATTTTACAAAATGCTTCTTATTAAATGGGAAGCAGAGGCCAAATTAACAGGATTTGAAAAGTTTCTCATGTTTATTTTTATTAATATTTATTATAAAGACATGCTTTAACATCTCACCAAAGAAGATATACCAATGGAAAATAAACACATGAAAAGCTCAAACTCACACACCATCAGGTAACTGCAAATGAAAACGAGATACCACAGCACACCTATCAGAATGGCCAAAATCCAGAATATTCTCAACACCAGATGCTGGCGAGGATGTGCAGCAGAGGTGCTCTCATTCGTCGCTGCTGGGGATGCAAAATGGTGCAGCTGCTTTGGAAGACAGTTTGGCAGTTTCTCACAAAAATTCAGTGTACTCTTAACATACGATCCAGCAATCACACTCCTTGGTATTTACCTAAAGGAGTTGAAAACTTACGTCCACACAAAAACCTGCACAAGGATGTTTATAGTAGTTTTATTCATAATTGCCCAAACCTGGAAGCAACCAAGATGTCCTTCAGTAGGTGAATGGATAAATAAATTGTGGTCCATCCAGGCAATGGAATCTTATTCAGCATTAAAAAAAAAAAAGAGCTATGAAGCCATAGAAAATGTGGAAGAACTCTGAATGTATATTGCTAAGTGAAAGAAGCCAGTCTCAAAAGGCTGCATATTGTATGATTCCACCTATATGGAATGCTGGATAAAGCAAAATTATAAAACAGTAAAGGTCACTAGTTGTCAGGGGTTCAGAAGAGGGCGGGAGAAATGAATAAGCGGACCACAGAGGATTTTTAGGGATGGGAAACTATTCTGTGTGCTATTATAATAATAGATACATGTCATTAATACATTTGTCCAAACCCAAAGAACGGACAACACTAAGCGTGAACCTTTGTGTAAACTATGGACTATGAGTGACGGTGATGTGTAGGTTCATTGATTATAACAAATGTACCACTTTGGTGGGAAGTGTTGATGGTAGGGGAGTGGGGGGTTAAGGGGTATATGCAAACTCTCTATATACTCAGTTTTGCTGCGAACTTAAATTTTCTCTTAAAAATAAAGTCTATTAGAGATTTTTTTAATATGCTGTGGCTTTCATTCAGGACCTTGTACAACTCATAGATTTGGGAATAGGAATTTCAACACAGCCCACTGGGCCAGTTTATAAGGGACAGTCTGATAGACTCTCAGAAAACCCACTAAACATTCTTTAGAACATGAAAGATAATGACTTTGTCCTAAACAGGTTGATACTTAGTACAGAGAGATCTCTTTAAGCACAAAAAAACCACACTGCATATTCATAATGAAAATAGTTAAATATTCAACATACTAATGCTTATTTTGTTAAAATAATTATATGCATTTTAACATGTGATCAGGGTTCACGAAGCCTACTCCTTGAGTTCAATGTGACAATTAAAACATCTGTTGTTTATGATTAGAGGGGTCCTCCTAAAACAGCCACAATGGTTTATGCTAAACCTCTTGGATTAGAAATAATCATAAAGTTATCCAAAGGTTATAATAAGGAGACTGATTATTGTTAGTAAAATCAAAGCTAAATGAAACAGATAACATAAAAATTATCACTTATTATGAAATTGCTGCAAATTAAACCTTTAAAACTCACTGTATTAACAGAAAGAACACACACCTTCTATATTTCTGATATATGAAGAACCATGTGTTCGAATGATAGCAAATACAAATAATGTGTATTTTGTAGAAAACATTGTGTCGAGGGCAGATCTGGGGCCTAATTCTGGAGGTCACCATGCCACTAGTGTGGAGCGAGCCTTTGGCAGGGCTGTACCCGCCACCCCCCACCAAGACCCTCCCCACCACCATGGCAGGCCCAGCTGCGTCAGGGGCTCCAGGAAATAGAAAGTGTGTACGAAGGTCAAACCCAATAGAAGTAATTCATTCATTCACTCAACACATGCACAGTACCCTATTCTGTGCCAGGCACAGGACAGGGTACTGGGTATATGAGTATGAGCAAAACCGGTTGATGTGGTATCTGCCTGCATGGCGATGCATGGGCCACTAGCGCTCACCCAGGCAGAAACTGGGGGTGGGGGTTCAGTTGAGAACCAAACCATAAAGCTCCCTTGAAACTCTCTTAAGAAACACACCATTGGGCAGTTGGTGTTTTAAGGGGGCGGTGACCTATCCAGAGAACTGCGGTCATGGGCTTCCAGCTTCGAGAGGCTTCCCACATTCCCCAGCCCCTGGCTCTGTTCTCCCATCTTGAAAGCAAGGGTCCTTCTCACTCCCCACCACTATGACTTCCTCTTACACTTCCCTCTTCCACTTACAAGGATCTGTATTGGTTTCTTATGGCAGCCTCAACGGATTACTACGAACTTGGTTATTTGAAACAATGAATATTTATTCTCTCCCAGTTCTGGAAGTCAGAAGTCTAAAACCAAGGCATCGATTGGCAGGGCTGTGCTCCCTCCAGAGGCTCTAGGGGAGAGTCCTCCCCTGCCTCTTCCAGCTTCTGCTGGCCTCAGGCTTCCTTGGCTCATGGCCACCATCACTTCAGTATCTACCTTTCTTCACATCGCCTTCTCCTGTGTGTGGGTCTGTTTCAAACTCCCTCCCCTCCCTCTCATAAAGATACCTGTGATGGCATTTAGGTTACCAGGGATTATCAAAGATTATTCCACCAGGATAATCCAGATAAACTCCTCCTCTCAAATCCTTAATCACATCTTTTCCCGTATGAGGTAATATCTACTCTTGCTATAGAATAGTCACAGGTTCTAGGAATTAGTTAAGTGAATATATCTTTGGGGCATCATTTTTTAGCCTACCACAAGACCCTTGTGATAAAGTTGGGCCCACCTAGATAATCTAGGATAATCTTTCTTTCTTAAAATCAGCTAAATAGCTACCTCCATTCCATCTGCACCTTAAATTCCCCTTTGCCAGGTCAGGTAACATATTCTCAGGTCCCAGGGGGTCAGATGTGAACATCTTTGGGGTTCAGTATTCTGCCTATACAACACTATATAGCATAACTGTCATAGGCTGAAATGTGTCCCCCCAAAAATTCATGTTAGAGTCCCAACTTTCAGTACCTCAGAATGTGACTGTACAGGGTTTACACAGAAGTGATCAAATTAAAGTGAGTTCATTACGGTTAGCTCTAATCCAGTATGATCGGGATCCTCATTAAGAGATTGGGACACACAGACACACACAGAGGTACAACCATGTGAGGACACAGTGAGAAGACAGCCATCTACAAGTCAAAGACCTCAGAAGAAACCAACACTGCCAACATCCGGATCTCAAGACTTCCAGCCTCTAAATTGTATATAAAGTGTGTGTGTGTGTGTGTGTGTGTGTTTGTGTAATAATGTGTATACTTAGATACGCAGATGTCTCAAATCTTTTTTAGAAGTGAACAGGATTAGTAACAACTAGCTGGAGCTCTCGGAAATGCAGAAAGAAGCTAGAATACAATCAACAGGTGGCTAGAGGACAGAGAACAAAGGGCACAGACATGAGAGGTGGCATACTAGACAAGACCAGGAATTGACTATCCCCACAGTTAACTAGCCACGAGTACTTCTCAATATTTTAGCAGTATTTGAAGCCCATTCACCCCAAAATGAAAATTTTAAAAAGCCACAGAGCAAAGAGCTGCTTATTTTTCCCCACTGCCACACAAATTCTGATGGGCCTATCGCAGGTGGGGTTTAACTGGCCCTTCCTGTGTTAGCGCGTCACACAGCCATCCACCACTTTGAGCATATCTGGTCTGCATTTAGTGCATAAAAGCTTCCCCTTGACAGCTCTGTACACATTCTATATGATACAAAGAGGCAAACAAATGCAAAAAAAATAGTTTAATAAAATTACTATTAATTGAATCAGGACACATCGAAGTGGCATTATGAACAATTTTTTAATGACAACAGATGGTAAATTTATACAAATTACAGGCTAGAATATAACGAATACAAAATCCATCCAGATAACGGCTAAAAAAGCATCACTTAACAAAAGCAAATCTGAATCAACTGGCTAAAGAACTCAAGCCCCCCATTTTACACACAGCTTTCAACACAGCGCATCTAAAGCCTGCCCCAGTCTGGGCACTATTCAAAACTACAGCATATTCAATGACTAGTGATTTAAAGATTCTAACACGTTTAAGCATTGATGTCAGGAGACATCTCATAACAGGTTCACTATGCAAAACTCAAATGCGAATATGTGAACGTTCTTTGCAAACTGTAAGGTGCTGTGCAGATGTTGTTAGCTATTGCTATTATCACTGTTCAGTGAGATTTCACTGAACTTGAGAAAAAGGAAGACTAGTCTGTGTAACTGACAAATATGACTTGTAAAACATCTTAAAAGGAACGCAGAGATTACTTTCAATTACACATAGCAATGAAACAAGCGAGAAGAACATGGCCAGGAGTGATGATAAATTGAGGGATTCCAGACTATTTTAATAAATAGTATAAGGGATTAAGCTGTTCAGATTTCATGTAATAGATTCCCAAAGTCTCTGAAAATAATTTAGTCAGGTGACCCTTTACCCTTACAAAAAGGAAAGAAAACTCTCAAGTTATTAATGTGCTGTTTCAGCCTACCTTTTGCAAAATTTATCTGAAATACAAGAATCGAGTCTGAATTAATAGTTATACTACTCTGGTGGAGGACGCAGAGCAACTGACAGCAGAGAAATCTGCTGCTGACCTAAGAGAAGTGACAAAGTCGGTGCCATAATCATTTATAAAAGAGGCCTCGCAACAACAGTTGTGGACTTTATTTACACTTCAGTGTAAACATGAACCTGTCTGGCAACAAGAAATACACACCAGATCCAGCTCAGACAGAATTTTAATTCTTTTTTTCATGTACTTACAGCTTTCATCTTTCCTTGTGCACACCTTATTTGCTTTCACTGGTCTCCTTGAGTATTCTAGATGTATATATGAAATTTATGTGAAAATGGAAAATAGACACCAAATAAGTCAATCGGTTGCTTCTTTTGGCAAAGCTGATGAGATTTTTATGATGAAAGCAGTCTAATTATTACCACGTATTTCAGTTAGATTTCCATGGAGCGCATTTTTTTAAATAAAAGGTTTAAATTTCTTCAGTAACAACTCAAAATGGAACTTTGCTGCTACATGTAAAATGGTATCCACTTGAAGAGCTAATGACATTAGATGCATTCTACAGCAGACTTCTCAGTTTTCAGCACAATGGGGAAAAAGATTATATTCCGGGGGGCAAAATGGGAGGTGAGGTGAGGAAAGTAACGTGTTACAGTAAATGGGGTTAAATCAGTAGCTTGTACTGACATTTCAAGTTACTTCCTAACTGAGGTTCTTCTTACAATCAGTTTTCAAACAATAATGAACATATTCCTACCTTAAAACATGTATAAGGGCTCAATTGTAGCTTTTCTTTCTAAACATCATGAAGTATGTACACTGTGCAACAGGAAACTAGTGAGACATCTTAAAAAATAAGATGTCAAATACCATATGTTATTTCAACAGCAGCAAACTAACAAGCTAACAGTTAAAACCCCAGGAAAAAATTAACTGGTTTGAAAACAAGCCTATACTGTAATAATCCTCAATATCAATTCTAGCATCCGATTCTAAATTTTAATCATTTGGTATTTTTTCCAAGAGGAAATTACGACTGCTTTTGCATGAATCCCTGGTTAAGTATTTGCAAAAAATATCCATATCATTATCTACTCAGCGAACATCTGAAGTCAAACAAAATAATCCAACATTGGACAGTACCATTTTACAAACAGTGTAACATCCCCAAAGTACAAAAACTTTGGCATTGCAGAAAAGGAAGTTACGTGCACAATTCCAAGTACAAGGCATCTAAAGAGGGGACTGTCTGGAAATCCACCACACAGCACCCCAGACTCAAACCGGGCTTTTCTATAATTTTATAATAAATTTGTACAATTTTATATGAAAATGTAGTCTTTTTGAAGAAAACACTTTACATTTAGATTAACTGCTTACAGACACTTAAACTGTAGACAACATTTAACTATACGAACCCAGTTCCACAACATTAAAAATAGAGGTGAACAAACAAGTTGGTAAATGGCAAAAACAACAAGGGCCACTGTATTACGAATTAGCAATAACAGGAAACTTGAACAGAGATTATCTACTTTTAAGAATACAGGTAGAATGTGTGTGTGTGCATTTGTTTGTTTGTTTGTTTGTTTGAGAAAATGGCCGCTGATCACTCATGTGAAAAAAATGCTAACAGCTGTAAGGTAAAGTTGGCAGAATTTGAACTTGACCCAAACTTTCAGTGCGTGTGGAACCAGCATTAAGAAATGCCTATGGGATGTAAATCAAAATAGTGGGTATCTCCAGGTGGCAAAATTACAGGAAATTTAAATTTTCTTCTTGTTTTAATATGTACTTTTCTGGGTGTGTTTTTAAATTGCACACAAGTAGTACCAAGTGGCTAGAAATAACATCGACTAAAGATACTAAAGTAAAATCATAGGGTCTTTTTCTATCAGCAAGGACCTCAAGGATTATCTAACTATATATAAGGGCTCTGATTAAATAGACTAAAAATCCCAAGAATTCTTCCTGGGTGATAAAAACAATCTATTTTCAGGATGGTTTACACTCCCTAAGTATGCAAAAAACCACCATTTAAATGTAAATTCCTATCATATACATTATAAAAAACAGTAGGAAAAACAAATTTAAAAGGAATTTACACAAACCTGGGAATTAAAGTGTAACTTCATTGCTGAACAACAGAGCAAAGCAGATTATTAAAGAATTGATCTGCAAGCACAGGCAGGCCTGCGAGGGGTCTTTAGGGAAGCAGACCAGTGTCCAAGCAACTAGCTCTGCTTTGCTATTGAGATCCTTCAATAAACCAGTTGATGTAAAATGGAATTCACCCTAGATTCCCTCTGAAATAATGTAATGCAAGATTCCTATTGACTAGGGGTTACACTTTCTTTGAAATTTTCAGTGACATTCAGATTAATTCTATTACCTACATTTAAGCGATTTTTCCATAGGAATTTACAACCTAAAATCCAATGACCTGGCACTTTGATGATAGTTTAGGGGAAGTATTCCAGAGAAAAATAAAGTTTAGATTTGCTTGGCTCTGTACATCTTAAAATATCCAGAAAAGTAGAACTCAAAAACCAACCAAAAGACAAAGTGCTATAAAACATTTTCTGTTGTAAAATAATCAAATTCTTCCCAGAATAATGTGTAATTAACTCAACATACTTATTTGTAACCAATTTCATTTTTCCAAATTCTGTTGCAAATGAGAGGCTCATACAGTTATAATTGATGCAAACCACTGTATTTAGAAAGATCAAAATTTACATTAGTCAACGTGACTCTTAAGATCCATTTTAACATGTTCTTATAACTTTAGGGAAATCGTCAGTATCCCAGACACATTTACCATTTAAAAAATCAATTTAATGCTATCAAAAGGGGATGTGCGCTTTAATCCTGTTTGCCTTCACGCCACTGTCGTGAGCCTTCATTCCAGGCCACATAGACGAAAAGGGCCAGCACCACATGGACGGCAACCACCGCAACAATAGCAGCATAAAAATAGCTGTCCCTATTGGACATCCCAAAGGCGCCTATCAAGAGAAAGAAAGTTTCCATTTTATTCCTAAATTTATCAAAGTACAAAAACAAAGCATACTAATTTTATTAGCTATACATTTAGTCAGGCAATTAAAAAGCAACACTTTGGGTGGTGTTAAAACAAGTATTCACTTAAAGATCTGAATACCTTCTATACATGAAGACTATTATTTTGAAGGAGAACCGTAATTATCACTTCATCTAAGGACTTTGACATAAAAAAAAGGGAGCTTTATTTTCTCTTCCTTCCAATGTCTGCCACCAAAGGTACATTCCTCCAAATTCTTCCACCCGTGGCAGTCAACTCTTGCTCTCAAAGGGCTATTAAAAGAAAGCATGTGCAAGCTATTTCACAGAAAACCATAAATGAATATGATGTCTAGCTGAAATAACTGAGTGATGAAAAGTTTATTTCATGAAGACTCATTATGAGCAACGTGATATTTGAAAAGCAAAACAGAAGAAGCAAACTTAAGAATATCCAGTTTACAGATATAAAGGTCATAAAAGCAGAGAAACTTAAATATAGTAATATGTCTATAAAAATAGTAAATATGGTTTAGGATTACCTTCAAAAACATAAGACTTAGTGGTGAAATATAACCCAATAGGTACAGTGATCATTAAAGCTGTGAAGAACAGGAGCGTCTTCAGGGTAGATGCTAATGAACTTTCATTTCTGGAATAAAGTAAACAAAGAGAAAAATCAGAACCTGCACAGCCACTCTGAACTGTTCTTACATCCCTAAACATTAGGAACACCCACAGCAAAGACTCTGGGAACCCCGCCCCAGCCCTGGAAGCAGAGGCCAGAGGAAGAAGCACAGAGTCAAGGACTCAAAAGTGGAAGATCTTAAGACACTTCGCTGCAGGCCCATCCCCAAGAGACTGTCATTCAGATTCAGTGTGAAAGGAAGTGGCAACGTGTGGAAGCTGTCTGCAATCTCCAAAGTGCTATGCAAATGTATACAGTAATTACAGAATTTACAATGGAAGTGACGAAGAAGACACACAGAAAACTAACAGCTAGCTGAGCACAGTACAAACAAGGTGAGAATATCCAAAGAAAAAACAGCCTAGAACAATCTGGATGCAGCTGAAGGAAATTTCTTTTAATTAAATAGCTGTAGTACAATTTAGATAGCCTTCATGTAATATGGATGCATTGAAAGTTTGATGTCAAAACATTTTCTGAACTCTATTTGTCCACAATTTTAAAATCAAGGAAATATTCCAATGGAAAAACTTTCGTTCCAGAATACAATAAAACTACTCTGAAGAATATAACCAAACTTCTAAAATTATATTCTTAAAGGAAAATAAGTTTGATGAACTGCTACTTAAAATATTAACAATATAAATATTAATATAAGAGCATAAACAAAACTGGGTAACATAAAAATATCCAATAACGGAAAAACAATTTCACGAACGATGTATAGCAATACATGGAGACATTAAAAAAAATTGATGATTTTTCAGAAAATATTCATGTGATAAATGAACAAGGCAAATTACAATGCATTATGCATGTCACGAGTCTGTACATTAAGGCCTGAGAACCCACAGCCTATTTCCGTAAATAAAGCTGAACTGGAACACAACCACACCCCTTTGTTTATATATCATCTAAGACTGCTTTGGAGCTACAGTGGCAGAGCTGAGTAGTAGACTACATGGCCTGCAAAACCTACTACTACCTGGCCCTTTACAGAAAACCTTTGCCAAACCCTGACGTATATATACTATTCCGATTATATAAAAAAACATGTGTATAAAACTTTCCCATTTTCAAAACGTTCCTTAATGATCTTTTACTGACTTTTTAATGTCAGTATTTGTCCTATGCGTTGTTACCAATGAGCAATGTTCCCGAAAGTGAAGTGGAAGTCAGCTTCCCGCAACTCTGAACGTGTACATACCTCATACACATCACCTGGTACATTATAAAGGCCGAACCCTATAGCTTTAATCTTCTGTTTATGGTCCTTTCCCCCTTAAATCTAACCAGCCTCAGACTACCTCCACCTACTGCTAATTTTATGCTCATAGTCCACACCTGAACTTAATTCTCTTTCTGGTCATCCTTAGCTAGAGGCGCTGGTTTTTATCTGTATCTTTAAAAAAGAGACAGCCCAGCCTTCAAGGTTCCCCCAAGTAGCCTCTCCTCGAAGCACCTTTCCTGATTACACCCCAGAAGAAGTCACTGCTCTGGGACCCAATCACACTTTGTTCATACCTGTTATTACAGCACTTCATGTGACAGCTTGCTTCCTACAGTCCTGCACATCCCTCTGTACCCTTAGAAAACCCAGACAGGACTTCTTCTAACTGTGTACACAATTAGCTGGGAGGTTTCTCGCAGCCTCAAAAGGAAGGGAACATCTCAAGTTTATATCAATTATCTACAAACTTTTTTGACTGCAATCCATCACTAAGTAAAAGTTTGCGCACATGTCCCCACACTGGTATTTTGATATTTTTAAATCGATTATCTATACACATACTAGTAATACCTTCTTTAAAATATAAACGATATGCAAAAATAGATACTAAAAAAGATGAGGTTAAAAATAAATTTATGCAGAAGTTCTAATATTTTCTTTCCTTACTTCAATAGATCATCTTTTTAACATTTTACATGTTAGCATTTAACACTTTCGTGATCACTGAGCTGTACAATTCTCATCTAATATACACAAGTTCCCTTAAACTGTTCCTAGTAGTAATTTTTTAGAGAAATATATTGTGTAATCTTAATGAAGAATATGAGTGCCTGCAGTAGCTCTATAAAAAATACAAAAAGTCAGCATTTGGCCACTGTTGCAGACCCCCCGCCACACACAAAACCCCTTAACTTTTGGGGTGTTTCTGTGGTGAGTTAAAGTATGAGTTTTAGGGGTGTGAAGTTTAGATTTGACCTGATAAACAAAGCTTGAGAATCTAGAGAAAGGGTAATTAACTGGTTCTCTTGTTCTTTAGATTACCTCTCTTGAATATATATTATCTGGCCTGGCTTTGAGAAAAGTTTATTATTAAAGAAGATATACCATAAAAATGTTTTAAAGCAAACAAAATCACTTCCAATCCCACCACCCAAACATAATATTTTCTGCATGTTAATTTCTAGCCCTACACACTCTACATAGGACATATCTTAACAATTTGTAGCTTATCTTCAACTCCTTCTCACTTCTCTTTACCTTAAGCTCCAAAAATTTGACTTTTATTCTGGGCTATGACCTCATAAATATGGGACTACGTATAAAGTTAAGCACAAAAACTTTTGAAAACTAGCAAATTTCCTCTAGTGTTTATAGGGCATTTCTCCTTGGTCTCCAGCCACAGCCCACTGAGGCTGGCAGTGCTGTTGGCACAAGCCAGCCTGGGTGCAACCAGTGATTTATTCTAAAACAAAGCAACTGATGGCATTCAATTGATTTCTCCTGTGTGTCTCTGAACGGATGTTACTGCGATTTGTTAGAAATAAAGAATGGGGAAACCCAGAATGAAAGTTGCCCTCACACAAAAGAAATAATTCAGGATGAACCTTATTGTGCCCCACTCTTAGAACCACTTAGAATTTACCCACATCATATAAACTTCTGCAGCAAACACTAAGCAGATAGAGCTTACCAAGTTCCCCTTTGTGGCAAGCAAGACTACTTGCACTCCGTGAAGATTTCACTGCAAATTCCATTAGGAAACACGAAAATCAGTCCAGGAGGGCTAGACTGTATTCTAAGTGTACTTAATGAAAATACCTGTTGGAATCGTCACTGGTAAACGGTAAAAAACAAACAAAACATCCGAAACATCTACAATGACACTGTGAGAGAGGGAAGAGCACAAGCTCCAAAGATCACCGGATTTGGAGTCAGTAGGCTTGGTCAAATGACAGCTCCACACTTACTAATCGTGTGACCTGTGTGGTATTAGACAAGTCACTTATCCTGAGTCAACTTCATCTTCCTTAAAATCAGGAAACTAAGTGCTTTCTTAATTCTGATAACGTCTGTAATAATAAAGCAACTAAGCTGAGCTTGGCACACAGTGGGACCTCTCTGAACAGTAGTAGCTAAATCCTTTCCCAATTTCTTGCCTACCGAGGTATCCATAGCTAGGCTAGTCAGCCAGAGCCACTTGCTCTCTCAGATTCCTTCAGCCCCTATCCCACTGACAACCCCAGGGAAGCAGTCTCACAGCAGGGCCAGCCCCAATTCCCTTCCATTCATTCATTCATTCACTCATCCATTCATTCATACAGCAAACACTAATTAAGCCCCGACGACGCAGGCCCCGTAGACTCCACGGAGATGGAGAAAGCCGGGTTCCTGTCGTCAGGGAGCTCACCCCCTAGCAGAGAGACTGCAGACAACAAACCCCAATATAGATGACAGCGAGAGGAAGTGCTAGGGCGGGAGCATGAGCTGTAGGCCCACCGGCCCCAACATGCTTCCGCGCTCTCCCATCCCGCAGGTCTAGACCTCACGCCCACCACAAGCCAGAGTTCCCTCATGCCTCGCTTCAGGCCTGGACAGGCCCGCATCGCGCGGTTCAGGCCCCGGCCGCGCCCGGACCCCGCTCGGGACTACCTGACGTCGGGCGGCTGCAGCGCGTTCAGCGCCGCTTTATCAAGGCGCTCCATGGCGTCGCCGCCCGCAGCAGGTACTGGGAGGCGGGCTGGGCTCGGTGAACACACTCGCTCGGTTTAACGGAGTACCGGTCCAGACGGCCTAGACCGGAAATGCTGGCGAGCGCCGAGCTGTGAGACGCAGTGCGCAGGCGCGGCGCACGGCGGTGACGCTAGCTGCGGCAGGCGCATGCGCAGAGCGGCGCGCCGCGGTGACGTTGACTGTGGTGAACGCGGGCGCGAGCGCGAGCGCCCACGTGACTTACCGTCCCGGGCTCCGCGGCGTGCGCCATGTCGGGGGCTCCCTGCACTCGAGGAGCAGTCCCGGCGAGTAGCCCAGCCATTCCACGTTGAGCCGGGATTTGCCTCGCAGCATGGTTCTCCGGAACGGTTGGCGCTGTTGCCGCCGCCCCCTGAGTGAAAGCGATTACCTTCTGTCCCTGTCCCAGCCCCTGTCTCCGAGCTGCGGTTGCGAGGCGACCGGAGCAGCTGAGCCCGGAGGAAAGACGAGCAGGCAGATGAATGTGGTGCTAGGCAACCAAGCAGTTTCCTACGACAACAACAACAGAAAAAAGCAGTGCACATTATTCTCCAGCCCTTGAGCAAATGTTTCATTAATTATTGCCCGCAGTGAAAGTCCAGCCGTGGGAAGCTAGGAGTAGTTAGTTTAACACTCACCGGAGCCCGGTAAAGCTAGAGAATGTCAGGGCTGAAAGAGCCCTTGCTAAGAGTGACTGTTCCAGGCCTGACGCCGGTGACCCCAACTTCCACTTAAAGTTAAAAACATATTTTGCAGCTGCTCAGAAAGCGCCAATGAGGCAACAGGGACTCAAATAGTAAGGGACAGATGGGCCTCCCTGGCCTGCACAACCCGAGAGATATAAACGAAAAGGGTGCGTAAGCCTAGGATCAGGCTTGACAAAATTAGGTTGCCACTGGCTGCTTATAAAAGGACAGCCCTTACATGGTCAACTCCTGGAAAGGGCCACTGACCACACATCTATTTTCTGCACCAATGGACACAAAGCCCACATGTGAAATCATGAATAAACCAGCAGCTTAGAGTGGTGTTGAGGGCCGTGGACTGGGCAGCAGGAAGCCTGGGTTTGAGTTAAAACTTAATCCCTCTCTGGGCCTCATGTAGACCCTTAGCGGGGGATAAGAACCATTTAATGAATGCCAGAACTAGGGCAGAATTAGACTGTAGCTCTGGGGTGGGCAAAGTGGCCTGTCCGCCAAATACATAGAGCCAGCCTGCCTACCACCTGTTTCTCTAGAGCCCATGATTTAATGTTTTTTTTTTCCATTTTTAAAGAGTTTTTAAAAATAAAAAGAATATATTGACTCACGTGAAAACTATATGAAATTCAGATTTCAGTGTCCATAAATAAAATTTTATGGGAACTCAGCCATGCTTATTTGTATTGTCTACGCTGCTTTCAAACTAAAATGGTGACGTCCTTGAGTAGTTGTGACAGAGACTGGTCCACAAAGCCTAAAATATTTACTGTCTGGAACTTGACAGGAAATGTTTGCCGACCCCTGTGCTAGCTGATCACCCTATAATGAGGTCCTTGAACCCCTAGGGATCCGTAGATGTAGTAATGGTGGTTCTGAGAACAATTTTCAATATTTTAAAAAATATAATAAACTGGATGTATTTACTTGCTATAAGGGATCACCAGCTACTTAAAACACTGCCTTTCTTTGATTTTTGGCACTAATTATATCACATTGATGAGGTAATTCTGGTTTTTGAATAAGAAAATACACATTATTACTAACCCGAAGTAAACCATCGTATACTTGGTTGACTAAATCTTTTAAAACATAGAAGAAACAGAAGAGGAGAGATCTTTGCTTTGTGATTCTGTGAATATCTAAGGCCTAGAAAAAGGACATGATATATAGTAGGCACTCACTAAATATTTGTTAAATAAATGAATTGGGTCCATAGATGGGTAAAGAGCAAAAGGGTTCTTGGTAGAGAAAAGATTGGGAACTACTGATGTAGTTTATTAGCTTGCTAGGGCTGCCTTAACAAACTACCATAAATTGAGTAGCTTAAACAACAAAAATGTATTATCTTATAGTTCTGGAGGCTGGAAGGCTGAGATCAAAGTGTTAGCAGAATTGGTTCCTTCTGAGAATGGTGAAGGAGAACCATCTAGCTCTGCGGTCCCCAACCTTTTTGGCACCAGGGACCGGTGCTCCTATGAGAATCTAATGCCTGATGATCTGAGGTGGAGCTGAGGTGGAGATGCTAGTGCTGGGGAGCGGCTGCAGATACAGATGAAGGTTTGCTTGCCCACCCACCACTCACCTCCTGCTGTGAGGCCCAGTTCCTAACAGGCCACGGACTGGTACCAGTCCGTGTCCTGGGGGTTGGGGATCCCTGACCTAGCTTCTGGTGGTTTGCTGGCAATCCTTGATGAACCTTGATTTTTAGAAGCATCCCCCAGATCTCTGCATTTCTCTTCCCATGGCGTTCTCCCTGTGTCCAAATTTCTCCTTTTTATAAGATGCCAGTCATATTAGATCAGGATACCCTTATCTTAACTAATTATACCCACAACTACGCTATTTACAAATAAGGTCACATTCTGAGGTACTAGACTTAGGAGTTCAACATAAGAATTTGGGGAGAGGCGCAATTCAGCCCATAACAGTAGTCTAAAGTTCTCCTTGTACAGATGAGGAAACTGTCTTAGAGAGGGAAGGGACTTGTCAGAAGTCACGAATTTACCTAGTGGGGCTTAGCTCATCCCTTACTTCCCAGACCAGCACTTTCAGACTATCACATTAGCAGTCCTTTGCGGCAAGTTTCATGATAACTTAGACAAGAACCATTCATAAATAAGATTTGACATGGGACAAAATGCCTGGATAATCTCATTTATATATTAATGTGTGTGTGTTGTTTTTTTTTATAAACTAAAACACTCTTATCTTTTTCTTGCTGACTTCTATACTCTACCCACATTTACTGTGAGCTCACCGAGGTGGAGATCGAACTTTTAGAATAAATTCAGAAGCTGTAAGAGAAAGAAAGAAATTAGCCAGCACTCTAGCCGCTCAGCAAAGTCCTGAAACCTCCTACCTACAGCAGCTGATAATGAACTAGAGGCCAGTTGAGCCCAAACAGAGCCGTTGCCATGGGAATGAAATGGCACGTCAGGCAACCGTTCAGTAGTTCCTCCCTTATTCCTTTGAGAACTGGAAAATGATTCTCAGATGGAAAGAGCCCCAGTCTGGCCCTTTCATTTTAGTTGAGAAAATGAAAAGCTAAGGATAGGAAGTGACTTGTTCCAAATTCATTGGATCAGTGATAGGATTAGAAAATTTAGAGTTCCTAACTCTCAGTCTAGTGTTTTCTACAGGTTATGGATCTCAGTGTTATAAACCCAATGACATAGAAAGTATACACTCAAAGTCGAGTTTGGCAACAACCGAAATTTGCTTTACTGACTCCCAAAACCATGACACCCCATTCCCTGGCAGTCCCTCCTTGGGTGGCTAGCAGTGGGCTTAAATGGGAACGGCCATGCTTGAAACACCAACTGGTACTTTCTGAAGCCGATGCTCACACAGCCTGGTGTATTAAAAATTAATCTATGAGGAAAATAGAAATAAGCCCCACCAAACGATTAACAAAACTCATGCTTAAAAAAAAGAGAGAAACAGAAACTCTGGCTTCTTTATAATGTGAAGCGATATGTCTTTATTTTTCTAAAAATACAAATTGGTAAAATATGCCCCCTGGTGAAAAATCTTAGTTCCACTTCTAGAAAAAAAAAAAAAAAACTAAAGAGTTTTGGCTGGAAGTTATTTTAGTAAAAACCTCTGTCAGGATCCCTTGGGCAATGAAATGCAAGTTTTACTCAAGGATGAAAATTTTTCCTTGAATCCTGCCTGGCTCTTTCCATTATCTTCATTGGCCTCTGGCCACCACTATTGCTCAAAATCATGTGTTCCATCCTTCTTTTTACAGTGCCTATTCACAATCCCTACAATTTATATACCATCACCATTTCACAGGTAGAAAACCTGAGACTAAGGAAAATTTTGAAGTTGGGTGAAGACCTTACAGTGCCCCTTATCTCCTGACTCTCAATTATTTCGCTAAAATTTTCATCATGCTGCCTTTCCGAGATCTATCTGCCGGAGATCATAGAGCTAGTGAAGAGATTTGCTAATGGAGTCAGGGAATACTTGGGGTCCATGGCTGATGATTATTCTCAGCCACCTGGCCCCACAAGATCTGGAGCCTTGGAGTTGAGACCTGTAATGCATTAAGTAGAGTCTGTGCACTTCCGGCAAAGCAAAAGTAGGTGCCAGAGAGCAGTGAAACAGGCCCTGCCACCTGTCCAGCATGGTGCAGGGTCAGTTTAGGGTCTTGCATCCCCTGGCACATCACGGGGTTTGTTACTGTAAGAGGAACCCTGGCCCAAGAAGGGCAGCAAGGTGCCAGTTGCCAATGCGAAGGTGAAAGATCCTGGCCCAAGTGCTTACCAAATGGGCTTGCCACCGCAGGCTGTGCTACTGGGGAAGGGATACTGGACAAGGAAACCTTGAGGACTAATGTGACAGGGTCACACCCCCAAGATATACACACGTTGTGCCCTACAAGGGCCGGGTTCAAAGGAGGCGCTCGCGATCGGTTGGTTGAATGAAGAAGCGAGTGCCAGCGCCCAGAAAGTGAGACCAGGGCTCGCGCAGACTGTGAGGTTCGGAAACAAAGCATCCAAGACTGAAGAGTCTGGTTTACACGCGGTCCTCCAGCTCCGGGGGCTCGGATTGGTCAGAAGGCTCATCTGCCACAGAGTGGTAGCGGCAAGTATTTCCCGCCTGCAGGGGGCGGGGCCTGGGGTCGGGAAGCTCCGCCCACCCACCGCCACGCGTGGTTAGGGGTTCAGACCTGGGGCCCACGCCTCCAAGCTGGGGCTCGCGTGCCAAATGTGGGTCTTCAAGTGCTCCCATCCCGCTGAGGCTGGCACACCCAGCACAAGCCGCACTACCAGTATTCGATGAATAAAGTTAATAAATAGTTGATAAATGAGTGAGTGAGCCAGAGAAATCCAAGGGAAAAACTAAAGTTCTAGCAGCATTGCAGAGCAAATGAGCATTAAGTTTTGTTTTGGCTTGGC